CGGGCGGGGCCGGAGCGACTCAGAAGGGCTGTCCCCGCCTCGGCTCCCTACCCAGCAAACTCCCCGGCCTGAGAGGCTGGCGACTGCATGTTTTCTCAGAAAGCCCTCGATCTTGTGGGGGTCGTAGACTGGAAGGGGGACCGGCCACAAGTAAAGTACTGAAAAGACCCAGACTTGGTTGTGACCTTAGGCAAATGTCTTAACTTCCCTAACCCTGACTCCTCATCAGTGAAATGGAGATACTATTAGCACCTACTTAGTAGGGTTTTTGAAAGGATTAAATGAGATAAGGGACAAAGCTGTGCTCAGCCGGGTACCTGGCACATGGTAGCACCTCCACTCCATTCTCGTCCCATTTTAGATGTCAGTTTCCTCCAGCGGTCACTCTGGCTCTCACAGTAGTTTTACTTTTATTTACTAAGGGAAGATTTATTGAGCACTTAAAATTTGTGCTTGGTGCTTCATATGCAGAGGACTCAGACCCAATACGGGTTTTTCCAAGAGCTTTTTGATCATTGGAAATCTAACACACACATTAAATAATTTCAAAAAGAAATAGAAAGTGATAAGCTACACAAAAGAGGTATTATAGAAAAGACTGAGTTCAGAGAGGGAGAGAAATTACTGGAGAGAGGGACAGAAAGCAGTCTTTGAATAGCTAAAGACATCTATGAGTACTTACATGTCAGTTACCACATTGGGCACTTGACATGTCAGTTCATTTGAAGAATTTGAAGTTTGTGGATGATGGGAAAGGACATTCTAGGCAGAGACCAGCACAAGGAGCTGAGTAAGCCTATTGCATGAATAGAGTCCAGTTTGTATGCTAGCAAAAGCATGTTCTAAATTTTGGAATGATTTACGATATTGTTTAAAATTATGTTTACATAAAAATTATACTTATGTTAAAAATCTCCCTTGAACACAGGGACCCTTAGATGGTTTATTTTGCCTGCAAGGCAAAGTCTCTGAAGAGTAGTAGAGGAAAGAGCTTTGGAAAAATAGGTTAGAACCAGTCTGTAGAAGACTTTACAAGCCAGACTAAGGATTTTGACTTTATTGTATAAGAAATAGAATGCTGGAAGGAAGAGGGAGCTTATAAGGAGGGGAATGACACAATCAGAGCGTATCTGTGTTAAGAGGTGTTATCTGACACCGTATTGAATGAGTTGTAGGGAAGAGGCTGGTTAGGAGACGGCTTGTGAATGCTTGCAAATCAACTGGTGCAGTGCTTAGCACTGTGGGGTAACATTTCTTATTGGGTGAGTGATGTGGATACATGTACTAGGACAGAGATGGCCATCAAGGTGGTGTAGAGGTTTACGTGTTGGATACTATCTTGCAAGGCATGCACAGTTGGGATTCCTGTCCTAGTCTGCTCAAGAACTGCTCAAGAACTGCTCAAGCACTCATGTTGCTGGGGTATACCAGCCCATGGTCATGTGGCATGGTAACATCGCTAGATCTGGCCTGTGCTGAGATACAGATTATCAACAAACACTGTGCTCTTGTTCCATGTATCTGAGTTCCGGTGGTTGCAAGATAGCACACAGAATCAGAATTTTTAGAGCCAGAAGGAACTTTGGAGATTATCTAGTCCAACTCTTTTGTTTTCCTGATAAGGAAACTGAGGCCCACATGTCAAGTGACTTTACCAACATTACATGATCAGTGATGAAACTGAGACTACAAATCAGTTCTCATAACTTTTGCCATTAAAATACATTAAATATATGCATCCTTTCCTCTTTATGCTCTTTGTAAACCAGAAGCTGTTCAATGAAAAGAACATGGATTTTTGGAGTCCAGCCAGTATGGGTTTGTATCTCAATTTTCCTGCTTACTGAAGATGTGATCTTAGACATGTGGTGCCTCAGTTTCCTCATCTGGGTAATGGGTGAGGTAACGTCTCACCTACAGGTTTGTTGTGAGGATTAGAAGTAGTATGTAAAAAGTGCACAGCCACGGGTAAATGCTCAAAAAATACTGGATGTTAGTATATACTTTTATGTCAAAAACAAACAAATAAGCAAATAAACCCAACAACCCACAGTGGGGGGCGGCATTGTTAACAGATGATTGTAATATAAATAAGTAATAATGCACTGCTAACTAAAGAATGTCACTTGCCATCTGGCTCTACAAGTCATTAGCCGCTGCAAACACTGACCTTTAAATACACCCGGAAAGGAGTTCAGGACAGAGAACAGAAATGAGACACTGTGTCCTCTGGAAAAACTCGCACGACTGGCATTTAGATAGATATTTGCAAGAGAGATTTTTTATGAACCTGGATTCTGGCATCCTCCCATACTTAGAAAAGCACTAAAATCATTAACTGAAATATCTGTTCCTCCTGACTAGCAGCAACCTTCTCCTGAGATGTGTGTCTGGTTATAGGTACCCCCTTCACCAGAATCACATGTATACTGGCCTCCCCCTTACCTCTTTGGAGCAGTTCCTCAGAGCTATCTGAGAGGCTGTCTTCTGAGCTATACTCCTCAGTAAGGCCCTAAGTAAAACTGAAACTTACAGCGTTCATGTTGTGTGTTTTTATTTAAGTTGACAACACATAGACATGCATATTATACACAATAAAGAATGACACCATTCTCACTGAGACAGTTTCGAGACTACCTCAGAGAGGAAATTTAATTTACGTTGGGTCTTGAAGGATGAGTAGGAGTTCACTGGGTTAAGAAAGGGCTGTGATTTAGTGGGTGTGAAAAGCGCAGAAGTGTGATGCATGTTGTGGGGAAGGGGGAAAGCTACTGTATTGTTGGCTGGGGGAAATGAAGGCAATTGGACTGGGGGCCAGAGAGAGTCTTCATGCTGTGCTAGAGAGCTTGAAAGTTTGGAATGTTTTCTCTGGGTGATAGAGAAACCAGTGTGTGTGTGTGTGTGTGTGTGTGTGTGTGTAAAATAGCTTTATTGAGGTGTAATCTATGTACTATAAAATTCACCCATTTTAGTTATTCACCGATTTTTAGTAAATGTACAGTTTTGCAACCAGCAACACTACAAGTTTTAGAACATTTCCATTGTCCTGAAAAATCTAACGTACTCATTTGCAGTTAATCTTTCTTCCCACCACCAACTTCAGGCAAATACTAAGCTGCTTTGTGATTCTCCAGACTTGCCTTTTCTGGATATACCATGCAAGTGAAATGATACGAGATACAGTCTTTTGCATCTGGGTTCTTTCTCCTAGGCGATCATCCATTTCTGAGGACCATCCATGTAGTAGCAAGTATTAGTAGTTGTTTTTTGTTTTGTTTTTTGCTGAATAGTAGCACATTTGTGATTATGTCCCATTTTGTTTATCCATTCAACACTCAATGGACATTAGATGGTTTTCACTTTTTCGCTATGAGTAATATTGTTACGAACATTTGTATACGAGTCTTTGTGTGAACTTTGTGTTTTCATTTCCCTTGGGCAGATACTTAGGAATAGAATTGTTGAGTTGAATAGTAAGTTTATGTTCCACTATTTAAGATGCTGCCAAACTGTTTTTCAAAGAGATTGTTCCATTTTATTCTGTGGGTATTCAAGCAGAAGAAAGATCTGGTTTCTGTTTCTGCTAAAATGAGAAACAAACAAATTTGTAAGTTAAATGAAAAGCCAGTATCGTTTTGAAAGAATTTGTAACAGTACTTATTTTGAGTCTATAAAATGTTTTGTTGGACCAAAATTCCAAAAAGAACTTTGAAAACTGCAAGCACCTGGTTAAATGAGGTTATCAGAGTTGTTAGATGTTTATTTCTTCTTGTAGACCAAATCAAGACAGAGAAATGTGCAAGATCATCTATTTTTTTTTAATCAGTGCCAAGTTATTTTCCTACCCCTCAGCTAATGAGCTTCCTTGGCTTGATTTGGGGTGAACTTGGCCTTGGAGAATTTATAGTTGGTAACTTCTTCACTCAGGGAGTTGCTTCATGAATTTACAATCATCCATAAGTTCCTTTCAAAATAAGAATCCAGAAATAGCCCTCTAGCAAAGAGGTTTCAATCTACTAATCGATTCAGAAACTAGTGGCCGAAATACTGTTGCCAGTAGAGGTTTGTTCCAATCGGATTTTTCACCAGTAAATGATATTTCAAGCGGGGAGGGAATTACTTCTCTTGAAAACCAGAAAAATACTAGCTATGCTGTGTCTAGGGTACGCTGTGTCACAACAGAATGACTACAAAGTTTTCAAAGTTTTCTACTTGGAAGACAATATTTTCTAAAGCATATTTTGTTGTATTCTGTATAACATATTCCCTGGGCTAAAAAAAGATCCAGAAATAACTTCATCTGAATGCTGGTCTTTTATAGGGAACACCGAACTCTTCCACGGAGAGTGGTTGATGAGAGAGAGAATTCCAAGCACACAACTGAACAGTCATTTCTGTTTGTTAGAAACAGTGTGTATTTTATTGGAGGGATAAAAAAAGAATGGTAGTAGGTGGATGTGAGACTTGCTAGGAGGTGACAATCATAATTAATTTTGAGTGGGGCTAATACTAAAATTAATTTTTCCTCTCTAAGCACAGAACAATGAATAGTTGAAGCAACTTCTCCCCCACAAAGAAGTAATTCTGGAATTAAAAATACTGTTTGAGAAGTCTATCAAGCAGTTAAATAGCAGATTACTGAAACATAACTATATTTTACTAGAGTCAGTATTTCCCCTTCAAAGGAGAAAAGAAAAATTCAAGATCGAATTAAATGCACAACGTGGATGGACCTAGAGATTATCATACTAAGTGAAGTAAGTCAGTCAGAGAAAGACAAAGTTCATATGATATCACTTATATGTGGACGATAAAAAAATGACACAAATGAACTTATTTACAAAACAGAGACTAATCGACATAGAAAACAAACTTATGGTTATGGGGTGGGGAGAGGGGTGGGGAGAGGGGTGGGAGGGATAAATTGGGAGTTTGGGATCGGCAGATACAAACTACTGTGTACAGAATAGATAAACAACAAGGTCCTACAGCACAGCACAGGGAACTATATTCAATGGCTTGTAATAACCTGCAGGGAAAAAGAATATATATATATATGTATATATATATATGTATATATATATATATCTATCTATCTCTGAATGCCTATGCTGTATACCAGAAACTAATAGAACGTTGTAAATCATCTATACTTCAATTTTAAAATGGGAAAAATTTTAAAAAAAAAGTAAGTGCACAAAGATCAGTATGTTAGCTCCTTACAACATCAGAGATAAATGACGATAGGAAAAAAAAAAACACAGCATTTTCCTCCAGCTCACAACCAGTGGTTCAGGGAAGGGATGGAGTGCCTGTTGACCTTGCAAGAGGCTTCTGGCACCACTGGGAGTCTCGGCTTGCCTTCAGAAATGCTGAGGATCCAGCAGTGTGTTTCATGATGTTTGTTATACGCAGCAATTTTGGGGGATATTTCAAATATGTATTTTACTAAGTGCCAGAGACGCTTAGGTATTGTAGAATGCGGGCAGAGGAAAAGGCCAACTCTGTTGCCTTTATTCTGACTTCAGAACATTTCATCATTTGAGTGTCGAGATTACTTGGAAAATTATTTACAAGGAGGTTTGGCATGGCTGAAATGGTGTGCTATTTAACTGATGTTAACTTTTATTGGTTTACTCCTATCTGATCTACTCTGGAGAAGGGGTGGGGCTGGGATGGGGCAATGATAGCCCAGGCGAAGTCAGATTTTTAAAAGTCTCTGGCATCATTAAAGTCTTCGGCATCCTTCTGACATTTCACTGTAATGATTTCTAAAGCAAAGATGACATGGTGTGCATTCAGGATTTCTCCCCTTCTACCCTCAGGGCAGATATCCCCAATGGTTAGTCAGAGCACCCTTCTCCTTTGAGTCAGGAGACAGCCTCAGAATTCTCAATTCTGCATTGCTGGCAGCTACTACCAATCAACAGACGTTACTTCGCCAGTTAAAATTTCTTTCTTTGCCTTTCCTGATCAGAGGGTGGCTTGATCCTTGTATAGGTTTTTTTCTCCTGCAAAATAGAAATGAATGATTTTTTTTTAAGTACTACACTACAGACCCATGCTTCTCAAACCTTGATATGCAGACCAGTCACCTGGGGGATCTTGTAAAAATGCACATTCTGATTTAGCAGGTCAGGGGTGGTGCCTGGGATTTGTGCATTTCTAACAAGGTCACCGTCGCAGGTGATGCCAGTGCTACTGGTCTGTGGACCACACTTTGAGTAGCAAGGTTTTCTGGAGACAAGATGTAAGCTAGAAAACGCTGTGCAATGCAACTCGAGAACCAAGAAAAAAGAAGGAAAACAAGGCAAGTGTTCCATTAGAAGCTGAAATTTTATTATAGGATAACAGTACATAAAGCACATCTAAAATTGATGTGTTCAATGCACTTTTAATAAAGGTAATGTAATATTAAAGGTACAGTTTCTAAGTACAATATAACAACATTCATATTAGAATGAAAATCGGAGTATTTAAAAGACAACATTAAATCTCTCTTTTTTTTACAGCTTGTATTTACAAAATGAATCAAAATATTTTTTTTTAAATTCAGGACTCAATAAAATAACAAACAGCTGGAAATAAGCAGACTACTGTAAGAGTGAATTGAAAAGAAAACCCAATGTATGTGAAAAGTTGGATGATCTCTAATAAAGATCATTAGCAAAGTTTTAGTACAATACTATTTTTAGGATTCCCATAAATGGCTTGCATTTTTTTAGTGTGGCAGAAAAGGAGTTTTTACATACTGTACACAAAACAGACAGCATATATTCATAGGTACAGTATTACTGTTTCCAAACTGGCATGTATATTTACAGAAGGCTGAGTTTGTTACTCACAGAGTTTTGTGAAATTTGTGTGCTTAATCCTCAAGACCTACACACAATTAGAATCAGCATTTCATGTGGTCTTTTAAAATGTGGCTTTCATACTCAGTTTTAGAAGAAAACATTAACCATAAGGCTTGGCATACTTTGTAAATTTACCGAAACAACCCAGGAAAACAGTTTGAATTGGGGCACACTTGATGTCATTTAACAATTCGCAAATGCTGACATGTGCTGGCCATTGTGCAGACACAAACAGATATAATCACCATCCTCGGGAAGCTAAGGATACTAAATGGTGCTAAAAAAAAAAAGATTTCAATCCCTTTCTAAGCGAAGCAATAAGGAATGACATGATTTGTATTAAAGGAGATGTCTCCCTAAACGGTAGCCAATTCACTTTAAAAGGTTAACTATTAGCATTAGCTCTCATTAACCACATGATTGCATTTATAATTAAGGTAACAGCAACTCTTCCATAAAAATGGAAAATGTCTAGAATTGTGGGCAAATATTCAGTGCATGGAAGCCAATAACCATGGCTTGAGAATTTATCACCTTCAATTACAAAAAGTGCAGTAAACAGAAACATTTGCTCTGTATTTATAAATTGCTCAAAAATCTTTGCTAAAGATCTTACAAATTCAGTAATAGTACAGAACAATTCTAACCAATATTTAATAAGGTCAACTACGTCCTTAGTTAGATATTTGATATACTTTGACTTTTAACAATGCCGATAGGTCTCGGGAGAATGGGTGAAAGAGTTTAACTAAGCTCATTATTAAATGACTTTAAAAAGGAAAGTCCTTCACTCAGTTCATGGAACTGGTTGAGGTTATAGTCACACAGAACATCCCTCGTCAAATTTGCTTATGGCCCACGTTCCACCGTGACAGCGGACGTCTCTATATTTCTCATGGCTCAGGTAGGAGGGGAAGGGTTTATTCTGCCATCAAGCCACCAAGGAGATTTTAAATAAGTACCTATTGTCTATAATAGGAGCTAAGTACACAGCTCTGTCAGGTGCCAATAATATAATTCCTTAGTAAGAAAAAAAAAAAAACCACTCCGTTAAACTAGAGTGTTTCTTTAGGAGCTTGAAGGCCTGGCAAATTATTTCTCAGCTCAGGAGATACGGTATAAAGCCAAGTAGCAAACATAAAGTAAATGCTAATAAGTTTTCATAGATCCATATTTATAAACAAATTCACCCTATAGATGTCAAATATCCATACTAAGGAAGTAATTTTATCCTAATTAAATACACTCTAGAATAATTTATATAATGATATTATGTATTTAAAGAGAAAAGCATGTCCCAAATCCAGCACTCTGATACAGCTGCCAGTTGGGCACAGGTAGATATATATATATGTATATATATACAAATATATAGTTATACTCAGTGAAATTAACAAGACCCAAAGGTGGTATTGTCTAGGAATAAAAGGGTTTTTTTGTTGTTCACAAAAGTAACTTATCTAGCACCACACATCAGAAAAACACAAAAATAGCACACTCTAGTTCTAAACAGCTATGTCTAAAATAGATTATATAGTAAAACCAGTATTATACAGCATATTGTGGATTTGATAAACAGATAAATATTTGCACTGAGTAGGCTGTTTATAATATAACATTTTCTTATCTATACAGAATGAAAGCCAAAAAGTTAACTGTATAGAGATGTGCAGAACAACATTAAATATTATGACTCAAAAGCAGGGACGAAGGTAAATTTGAAAGAAGAGTAAGAGAGAAAATGTTTACAGGCCATTACAAGTTCTTAAGTTAATAGTAAATAAGGAATCAATTGCTCAAGTTGAAGAAAGCAGTAAACAAGAGATTGCATTTACATGCAGATGTCTAAAATTTGTATTTTTTTAAGTCTATGCACAAAAGTCATGTTTTATTGCTTGACATTCAGTTATGGCTAGATTATTTAACCTATTTTTTTTTGTACTTTGGAAACAAGAATATTGTTAAAGGTGCCATAAAAATGGACAACATTGAAAACGGTTTGCAAATAAACCACCTAACACTGCAGTTCTTTATACATATTAAAAGCCTTGTCTGGGGTTTGTCATATGTTAAATATATTTAAACTGGGAAAATATGTTGTAGCTTGAAGCCTCCCATTGGCCCAAACATCCAATACAAAAACACATCTCCACAAAAGGAGCAGGCGGACAATACAGGAACATTTAAAGAAGCAGCCAGCTAATGTCCTAATGTTTAAAGATTTACCACTGTTGTATATGAAATTTCAAACCATCATAGATAAGAAGAGAATTTTGGATTCAGGAAGATGTGTACAGTACATACGGATTTTATTTTTTTGTGTGTGAAATCATATTCACTATATTGCTCAAGAATTATCTGCATTTACATATGCAATCTGTTCAATGATAACCAAGTTCCTAGAAACAGTATTCATCCACATCAAAGTAATAATGAGTGAGAAAGGAATCGCACACAAACACAGGAGAGAATTAAATTGCTCTTGGAGAACAACATAATGGCACGTGCAGCGTGTCAAAGCTAATAGCAAGCCATCTTTCGTCAGTTCTCAGAAAGAAAAAAGAAAAAGATGAGTCATATCACTAAGGTGGCAAATAGACTAAACAGCCAACATAGATTTTCTAGGCATCTACTTAAAACCTCATGTTCATTTTCTTAACACAAGACTCCATGTCAAGTTGCATCGCTGAAAAAAACATCGTTCCTATTTGGATTGAATGTTCTGTCATTCATTTATAAATAAATAAATAAAATGACTGAATGTGTTTATTGCTCTAAGTTCTGAGGGTCTGGTTCAACATGGAGTCTCCCCCATTTATGATGTTTCTGTGATATGAAGCCAGGCTTCTGGATTATTTCAGAAATTGTTCTGAGAGCCAGACAAAAATGATCTTACTTATCCGAACAAGCAAACAGACCCAGAAGTGAAACCAGCTGCTTTGTAAAGCCATTGCTTGCCAGCCTTCTAATTTCTTAAGAATAAACAATAAAAGGAAGGTCTCTTTAATCATATTTGGTGGAACCTCTTTAATAATACTAGTGTTCTGAGAATGCAGTGAAGACCTGTATTGTAGACTCTTGGCAAGAGATGATTCACTGTTGCCCTTGAATTTCTGGGCATACTATCTAATCCATAATATAAAGTTGCTTCTGTGGGCTTCTGCTGTGTCGTATCTTTATAAGAAAGAAGTGGCAACAAAATGTTACAATAGGTAAACATGTCAACAACCTCTGTGTGTGTATGCATATACATGTGTGGGGAGAGGGAGAGAGAGATATCGGCCATTTTCCATAGTCTTTATTGTCAAAAACAATAAGGTAAAGGTTTACTTTTTTAGCTAAACGGCATGGAAAGTTATTCCAGATTATGCTCTTCAGTGGTAGTAAGAAAACTGTAAAGCTTCTTCTGAATGTATATTCCAGGTGTGGAAGAATCAAAGCCAACTGAGATTCACTAACCTTACGGAAAGTAATATATGGAAATAGTACTTTCAAAATATTTCAAAAAAATGTAAAATATAACACTAAAAGCTGGCTCATGTGAGTCCTGCATGTCTTTAAACATTAAATCTTGTATTAATTCAACAGATAAAAACTACAAATGTAGAAGAATTGTGTGACATAAAGGGAGTTTTTGGTTTGTTTCTAGAGGAGAACATTGTGAAAAAAGGAATTATTTGCTGGTATTTGGGGAAAAGAAAAGTTTCACCTTTTCCCTCTCTCATTTCACTGATGGGCAGGGCTCTCATCTCATTACTGGCTTTTAAAATTTTTATCCATGTTATGTAGAATTTGAAGTAGTTTTTAATATATAATGCTGTAAGTATATTTATCATGAATATTTTAATTAGTAGAGAAATAGTAAGTGGAGTATGCAGGACCGTACTTTGAAGTCTCTGTAGGTATATTATCTATTAGTTTATCTTTTGAACATGCTGGCATCGCCTTGTACTGCTTTGGAAGTTACTCAGTGTTTTTAAGCACACAAGACTGAAGAACATATACATTTTGAACTGAACAAAACGAGACAATAGTGAATAGTTTACACACACACTACACACACACAGCTCTACACAGTTCATTTGTGCCTTGGAGGGATAGTATTATCATTATTATTAACAATAAAAAACACAATTTTGTCCCAGTAGTACTGGCCACCCTGTTTTTAAGAGTTTTAGAAGATCCCTGAGCACATTGTTTCTGACTCTTAACCCCAACTCCAAAATGATAGGGCTTCTAGTGTTGATCTCAAGATGGATTGTCATTCACAGTAAGTCAATCATAAGGTGCTTATTTACCCTTTCTTTTTTTCACCAATCAGCACAAAGAACTGTCAGAAAATAACTTTTTATTATTATTAATCTTCATAGCACTGGAAGGACACATGATTTAAACAATCAATGTTGGAAACAGTGGCTTTAGGATTATTATCTGGCTGCCCCTCAACAATTACAAGTGATTCAATCGACATTCCTTAGCCAAAAACAAAAGGAAACCAAACCAAACCAAACCAAAACAAAACAAAAAAAACCCCCAACAAAATCAAACAAAAACCAAACCAAAAAAAAAAAAAAACTGTACAAATATGTATTTTTCCCTGAGGGATCAAGGTACACCCGCAAGTGCTCTATGTACATATTGCACTAGAGAGGAATGAAGGACATGTGCAAAAAAGCAACAAGGAGAGAAGCTTACATCCTACTTAAACCTTTTCATCAAAGATTCTACTAGGGTGCTTTGCATTTTGGAATGTCGGAACACAAACAGCGATTCCTTTAGTCTAAAACGAAAAACACATACTTCGACTATGGCACATTCAATGAAATAAAAAGTTTTCCAAAGACAGATAGACAAATTCCATCAAGAAAATAATACAAAGTTTGTTTGTTTGTATTTTTTTTTTTAGAAAATTACATTACTTTCTTTCTTTGTTTCACATTACAAAATCTGTTTTTTTTTTCTTTACACAAATCACATTTTATTGCAGGAATATTTCAAGTGCCATCAAATATTTATAGAAGGGTTAAAAAAATAGAAGTCTCTCTAAAGTGGTCCAGACAAGGCTTTGTATAGAATAAATCTTTTTTTTTCCCATCTTCTAGTCTTGATTTAAGTATTTTGAATACATTTTCTTTTCCATTGACACTTAGTAGCCTAGAAGCGGTCCGACACACACACACACCATCATACACATGAAAACCACACACACGCACGCACACTCCCTCCTCACCTGACCCTCAGCCCACCCCCATACGCTCAGAGATCTGAGTATCCACACTATAAAGAACAACCAAACTTAGAAGCAGTGTCTTAAGTCATGTTTTCCTTAAGTTAGAAAGGGTGAATTAGGATGCTGAAGACTGAAAAAATAAAAATCCATAGCTTTAACGCAAATTAGGATGCTGAACACTTAAAAAAAAAAAAAACCAGAGCTTTACCACAATTTGCAAACTGTCCCCAAAAGCACTTTCTTCTGCACTTTTGTTTTCATTGTGACCAAGGCCAGGTTCTTCACAATATAACGCAACCATCTGGATACCATTGTAACTGAAGGTATGCAGGCTTTATATAAAAGCCTTATTTACCCTATGTAAAAAAATTTGTATAAAAGGCATTATAGTAGCCGGAATAACAATGATGTGATTCCAATCTTTAAAAGCCTATCGGACATCTAAGTTTAGGCAGTTTTAATTATAAGAACTATTAAGAACAATTGTTCTGTATCGCCAAGTAGTTTGTGTCATCACAGAGGTGTTTCTATAATAAGAAAATAAAAATACAAAGGTTTTCACATCCTTTTCTGTACTTCATAATTTTTTCAACCGAAATTGTTGTTTAACTTCAGATCCCAACCTCGTTCCAAATACCAGTTGTTCCCACGTTTCACCAAGCCCGCCTCTATTATTCTGTCCCTACACTGTCGATGTACTTTGCTCTCAAAGTCCACACCCTGTTTTTCTTTCCGGAAGACCTAGTAGCAGCATCATGTCAACGTATCTTGGTTTACTCCAAAAGCAATGTCACCATGGTGTGACTATTACTGAGATTAGAGCATCTTTTTTTTTTTTTTTTTTTTGCATTGGGTACATGCAAAATCCTTTCTGGGAAAATTTAAGATCAACATTGCGTTCTCTCTCACCCTTAGAGAAGTTCAATCAGCGCTCATCATTTCACAAGTGGACACTGGAATTAGGTTTAGTTGCTCTTTAATGCGCTAGCTAGCACCTGAGGCTGGTCATATTCAGAAAGCTTTGGTTAAAAAGAAGTTAATATACTTTAATAAAACCATCCCCCAATTTAGTGAGTCAGAATGACAAACAAAAACAAAAAACAAAAGAAAACCAAAATAGAAACACACCATTTCCCCCACAAAGGAGAAACAACAGGGGTAAAAAAATGGAGAAATAAATAACTGAACTAAACTTGGTACTCTTTGCAGAGTATAAATACTATTGATCTTTATAGGAACTACGCTTATTTAAATTAAAAATCTGATTCAACCCTTCTTGCCCAAATATAAATACTATATGCTGATAGCTACCTCTCTATATAAACACTCACATAAAGTTTTACACGCTTGTAAGAAGTTTAAGTAAATATTACCCTCATCTTCTATTTCTGGTTAAACTCTTACTATATTTTTGAAAAAAAAATTGTTTTTAGATGTTATTTAGGCTTCATACACATTTCTGTGTGAACACTCCCTTCCCCTTTCCCAAGGCCCTCAGGAAACAATTCAGAAAGTCAGTGGAGTTAAACGCAGAGCGAGGGCTCTGGGACGCCCGTACTTGGGGACCCAGTACAGCGTCAGGAGTTGAATTCCTGCGGGAAGATTCAGGAGGGACCCTGGCGGGAGAGGAGACACTTCCTTCCCTGTAAAGGGCTGCTTGCAAACTCCCACCTTTACGGGAAGGTGGTCTCTTTTCTGTACAAACATGGTCTTTGATGTCAGACCAGAAGTTTGAATCCCACCCCAAGGGTGACTAAAACCATCATCGAAACGCCTACGTTCCTGAAGGTCACTTATTTTTAAAATATGCACACTTGTCTATCAGACTGTTTCTTCTCCATTTCCCCACTGGGAATTGTTTAAAAAAAAAAACTAAACCCACGAAATTAAACAAAAACAACTCGATATTTCTTACCTGAACACAAAAGCCAAACAATCTTCTAAATATTTAATAAAATAAATTACAGTCCACAGTTTTCTAGTGAAGATAAATATAAAAGTAAATGTTTGCAGCTTGCATCAACTTCACTTTAAAGGTTTAAGATATCTGATATTTAAATAAGAGAAACTGGTTCAACATCATAGGCCTCCATTGTCTCCCTCTCCACTGGCCGTGAAATATGGAGAGCGGTATTCCAGAATTATCCCATCGAGAGGCGGTCAGTCTAGCAATAGTCCGCTCTGAGATAAACTCTCAGGGTTTCTGGATTATACCAAGACCATGAACATTCACAAGTAAATGCTTCATGTCTTCACGTGGGGAGTGTGCACTTGCTCCTGACATAATCTTTGGGTCTTTCTTCTAAGAAAAGCTAGATTCCGATAAATATTCTGGTTACTAATCTGATCTCAAAGCATAAGAATTCCAAGTTGAGACTGAGCCTGTGTAACTACTGAATGGTGCAAAATGAGCCTCTCCTCCCCGGCCACCACGAGGCGGCATTTTAAAAAGCTTTTAAAAAAATAATGTGCGTGAGGGCGTAAATCCCCGGCACTGATCCATCCTTCAACTTTGTATGAAGCGTAAACACATCTATCCCTAAACTTCCCAAAAAGCAAAGTACAATTTAGGGAGAGCTCTAAGTCCAAATTCCTATCTTAAAAAAAAAAATCCAACAGCGTGATTTCTAGATATGACCAGCCAGTCCTTTAAAAGTCATTGTGTAAACAGCAGCATAAAAACCTCCCGACGTACCTTCCAAGCCTTCTCAGTTAAACTTGTGTTTCTGGTGCACATGCGACACAACAGTGAACACGCTAGCATTTAATTTAAAGAAAAAAGGTGCAAAATGAAAGTGCCTTATCAATTCAACAGGAAAAGCTACACCAGTAACTACATTTTATATTAATTAAAACAATATATAAACAATATCTCTTTTAGCTATATATAGTCTTCATGCCCATTTACCCTGTAATATATTATAATGCTATTTGTTGCTAGTGCTATGGACCCTTTTCGTGCCATCCTGCTGACTGGCAATAATCGGTGAAAAAAATAAAAACTTCCTTCATGAGACAAAGAGCAAGTTGTGCAAAGTTATGCTGCCACCTCCGCTATGCATGCCAGTCACCGATTAGTGCTGGACTCTCTGCTGTTAGGACAGACTGGTGACTCTGTAGAAAGTCTGTGGGCAGTGAGCTACGAGAAAAAGACATCCTCCAACTTTAGTACCCGCCTTCTGTTGTAAACAGAGGTCAACGATCAAGAAGTCAAGACAGAAAAAGGGTCCATATCTGTAGGCATAATGGAAATCATATGCATGAGAAAAACAAGTTCAACTTTTATTTGTTTTCATTGTTTCCCCTCCTTTGCCTGACCCCGATCACCAAAGGATGTGCAATGTGTTGGCGCTCCAGGTCTGTGCAGGGCCATGTAAAGTGTCTCGGTTAATTTGTTTGTTGGTGGGTTTGCTTTTCATTGTTTGTACTTCAGACATTCTAGAAGTGCTTAGGTGATACATTTACCCATCGATCTGCATGGCTGGCTCAAATTCTGAAGTGAACAACTCCTTGTATAACGGAGGAAAGTGAAGTCGCACAATGTCTGGGTATATTGCTTTAAACGCCATTAGCTTTTCTGTGTGTCGTCCACATAAGGCTCTTAACGTAGACACCTTGCATATTAACTGCAAGTGGAAGAAAGGACAGGTGGTCAGGACAGAAGAGACGTGAGAAGCAAACATCGGGGAATCTAGACGACCTTTCCAACATTGTTTATCAGGGTGAAACACACTTGAAGCAACTTAAACGTCCAGTAATAGAAGGAAGGTAAAAATTAATGATGATGTAGGCACATCACAGAAAACTAGGTATATATTAAACATGATTTTGAAGGCAAATAATTGAGTAACTTGAAAAGATGTTCATAAGCAAAAGAACCCAAGTCTCTCACCTTCTCCTCCTATTCCAACATACTTTCTGCCCTACCATCCTGAACCTCGCCCTCTACCCCTTGGGAGAAAGGAGAGATGTGACAGAGATGAGGGCAAGGGGGCCCCGCGGGTAGCTGAAGTCACTGCAACCAGAGCTGATGGCATCCCCTGCATATTTTATGCAAAACGAGTACTAGTCAACTCCAATGATAACAAGTTTTTTTTTTGAGAAAGAGCTCTGCCTGTAACAAACCAATTCCAGGTCTGAGTAAAAGGACATGATTGAAAAAAAAAAAAAGTCAGGAAGTCTGGCGGAAGTCCCAGCATTGACCATTTACGGGTGGAGGATAATAACATGGCTTGCAGAAGTGCTTTTTAAAGTCTAAAGCACTGTACAGTGCAAACTAATGATCTCAACCCAGAATAATCCCCTGTAAGAAACGTCTTCACCACAGCATCCATCTTGTCCATGTGTTAGGTTCTCTCTATGGTGAGAGACCCCTCCTCTAGCATATTTTAAACTGACATCCTAATTATATTTTCATTGTGAAAGATAACAATTGGCAAAAACGAAACCTAATGCCTTGAATACAGGGTAGTAATGAGAAACTGATGAAGAAAATGCAGAAGTCATTTACTGTTGACTACTAATGAATTTAATGGAAATAGAACTAATACTAGAATGTATGGTTATCTTGGTTAATTGCTTTAGTCCTTCATAACCTCCTCCTTCTAAACGCAAAGATTTAAATTCTAAACTCTCTAGTTCATATCAAGGGAGAACATTAATTATGCTTTCTGCCCATCTTTGATGAAATAGGTGTAGGATTTCCAGACTGTCTAGAGGGGAGGGTATAGCTCAAGTGGTAGAGAGCATGCTTAGCATGCATGAGGTCCTGGGTTCAATCCCCAGTACCTTCTCTAAAAATAAATAAACCTAATTACACCTCTCTTACGCCCCGACAAAATAAAATAATTAAATAATACAATAATAAATAAATAAAAATATTAAAAAAAAAGATTTCCAGACTGTATATTGCTGCCATTGCTCTATTATTCCAGGACACTATAACCAATGATAATAAACAGAATTTAACCTGAATTTTGGCCCAAGATCATTTTTTTGAAATGGAGACATTTCTTTTCTTTTCAGTACCCTGTTGCTTACTGATGCTTTTGGGGCTGGTCGATGACGTCTAAGAGTGGCTGGCGTGAGCTGTGACAAGGGATAGTCAGGCTGTGTCAACGGCAAGCGTTCGGCTCTCACCTTTGTTAGTATTCCGTCTTCTCGGTGATTCTTCTGTAGGACGTGCTGAAGAGCTAGCTGAATTTTCTGTTGCAGTTTTTCAATTTTTACCTTTTCCTGCAGCCATGAGCGATCTAAACATGAGAAAACCACACCCCTTAGCATTCTGCCAACATGGTGTCAGAAACCCCCAATTCCTCCTGACTCCTCGGTGCAGATCATTACACCACAATGCAGAGTTAGGGACTAACAGCCCACTTTCACTCCTCGTTCAAAATCTGCTCCTAAAGAAGTGGAAACCTGATCTATGACAGTTATAAAACTGAGTGTTAAGCCTTTTCATTTTTACTGACATTTAAAGTAAGGGAGAGTTCGCCCCCTTCCAAAAGGACAGCCATTTAAATCTGTCATGCTTGCATGAGGGCAAATGAAATCACCATGGCCCCTTAAGCCTTTCTAATGGTTAAGTTTCTGAATCAAATACTCATATCAGTCCTGCGAGCCTTTCTGGAAAATATGAGTATTGCGTTATAGTCCAAGGCAACCAAAATTGTTAAGAGAATGCCAAATGATTTTAAGGGTTGTTAATTTAAGATAAAGTCTTCATGTCCAAGAATTCCAAACAGGAGATAGTAAATTTGCAAAGCTGATTATTCCCAAGAGGCAGTGCTGGTTGAACACCTAGATCAACTTGTGGATGACATCCAAATGGATTTTAAGAAAAAAGCAGAATGTTTTAAAAACCACGTTATCTTGGAGACTGGTGTTAAGAAGGGTAAGCCTACTCTAATGCACTATTTCTCTTGGTATCAGGAGGTTAACTGTGGACTGAGCTTCATTCAATTTTCATTTCTTAAGAGTTGATCAGAATAGCATGAGGGCGTTCTCAAAATGGTGTATGTGCTTTTGTTTGTGTGTGTGTGTGTGTGTGTGGTGTGGTGGGGGGGCGCTGTTATTTGAAAAACTTAAAATTAGATTTAATAAGGGTGGTAGCCTCTCTTGGTGGCCCCCTGAATATTCCATAGCCATTGAAAGTTATGTGCCTTATAAAAATTCTTTACCTGGACCAATTTAAAAACGATTTTATTTGGTTATCTTACCTGCTGACATCAGGACAAATGCAGAAAATAATGCAATTTCATCTTCAGTCAGGTGCATAGAACATAAACTCTTTCCAAATTCAAATACAAAGCTAATAAAGTCTTCACAACCTGCCAAAATTCAAGACAGTTTAGGATTTTGGTTATTATCCTAAGAGAAAAATATGGAAGAAGGTGAAAAGGTGAAGATCAGAGGGAAAAGTAATAACATTTCTACAGCTTAATAGTTTGAAATCTTCGGGAAAAAGTCAGTTTAGCCACCATCACCATCACCACCACCATCATCACTGAAAATGATGTCTGTTGTCTGATTACTATGTTAGGTGCTACTCTAAGAGGTTTCTTTGTACACGCTACTATTTTACAACAGCCTTGTGAGGGAGGTATTGTTGTTACTATCCCCATTTTAAAGGTGAGGAAACAGACTTGGGTAGAAAAGTAATATGCCAACGATTCCACAGGTAGGAAGTGACAACCTGAAATTCAAAGCTAGCTGCCTGACTTCAGAGCCCACACTCTTTTCTTTTTTAATTGAAGAATAGTCGATTTATAATGTTGTGTTTCTGGTGTACAGAATAGTGATTTAGTTTTATATATATACACACACACACACACACACACACATGCACATATATACATACACACACACATATATATTCTTTCTTAGATTCTTTTTCATTATAAGTTACTATAAGTTATTGAATATAGTTCCCTGTGCTGTACAGTAGGACCCTCTTGTTTATCTATTCTGTATATAGTAGTTTGTATCTGCTAATCCCAAACACCAAATTTATCCCTTCCCATCCTGTTTCTACTTTGGTAACCATAAATTTGTTTTCTATGTCTGTAAGTCTATTTCTGTTTTGTAAATAAGTTCATTTGTGTTTTTTTTCTAGACTCCATGTGTAAGGGATATCATATGGTATTTGTCTTTTTCTGTCTGACTTACTTCACTTAGTATGATAATCTCTAGCTGTATGCTGCTGCAAATGGCATTGTTTCATTCTTTTTTGTGGCTGAGTAGTTTTCCATTGTGTATATACACCACATCTTCTTTATCCAATCATCTATCGATGGACATTCAGGCTGCTTCCATGTCCTGGCTGTTGTAGACAGCGCTGCTATGAACATTTGAATGTGTGTGTCTTTTTGAAATGAAGCCTATACTCTTGAACAACAGAGTCTAACAGATATAATCTAACTAAAACGTTAAATTCACTCATTTTTTTTGTTGTTCTTTGGTTTATTTTATGTACAACACCCTTAAAAGAGATAACAAATGACAAATTATGGTGGAAAACCAATATAACTATTACAGAACTGAAAACACAGAACGTGAAAGTCCCATAAAATAAAAACTCATTCCCCCCCAAAACTGGTTAAGTTTGGTGACTATTCCTTCAGACGTTCACATTATGTATATATAGTTAAAAGGCAATGGGCTATTCTTAAGTATACGTACCTTCCATCATTTAATTGTTTTTAAAATCACTTAATAACGTAGCTTGGATACCATCCCACTCTTCGTAATGACTAGAGCCCACTTTATTTAAATTACAGACATCTAAACTAATTCAATTTTAAAGTATATGTCATAATTTCACTTAGCTATACTCTCCTTTCCTGATGGCTCATTAACGGTTGTTATTTGAGGAGTATGGAAGGGCAGACTTTCAGCTCTTTGCTTGATTTTATCTATCAACTCACATCCTCTAGTTTATCTAAACAATATATTCCCTGCAAACCTGGTTCTTAAAATCGGGAAGGGAGCTAGAAGGATATATCACAATTTCTTCAATTGCTAATTAGATACAGTGAAACTCTAGATTCTTGAATGTAACACAGACAAAAGGTATTTGAGCTGTGTGAACTTTCTACGGCGATCAACTATAAGGTAACGCAGGTATAAAATCCTTTAACTTTTGTGTCCATAAAATCGATTTCCACTTTGTTCAATAAGAGCTTTCACCCAACTCCTGTCTTTTCCCCTAGCCCTGATTTAAAGACAAAGCACCCAGAGATTTCCTCACCTAAAGACTTGAAGACATCGGGGCTGGCATATTTCCCGTCAAAGTACACGGTGTTGTTCTGAGAGTCAAAGGCACGGCACATTCTGATAAACACCACCTCCAGAGAGCCTGCACAGAGACAGAAGCGAGGTCGGTTGTTGTCTTGGTGAGTTTATTTTGAATGTGGGGACCCCTTTTCTGAGTCAGCAAGGTGGGTTCTGCTAAGGGGCTCTCAGTCACCTTAGCTCTCTATTTAAAAAGGCAGAGTTCTTGAGCAGACTTATCTGAAGCTAAGGTCTGTGTTACTAAAGCGAGATTGATTTATGAATTACTTCTTTGGCACTTGTCTGTCCTGTCATAACACAGAGTCTCAGAGCTGCTAGGAAAACATGGACTCCTGTTTACTAAAACAAACGGACGAAAAAACCCAGGGATGTCTCTCTGAATTCCCCTAACAACCTTCTTCCTAACAACTTCTAGGAACCTCCTGACAATCTGGAGTGTAGAGACAAAATACAGGTGATGGTTAAAACTGGGGAATGCAGGTGTCTTTCAAATGAATCTTTTCACCCAGAGGAGAAGCAAAATGGAGGGAACATTTCCTGCAAACAGCTCAAAACCTTTAAAAACAAAAAACAAAAAACTCTCCATTTCCGCTAAGAGAAACCTGAGCTATTATCATCGGAGAAAAACTGTTTCCGACACCTTCCTTACCAAGCATTTCTTTAACAAGCTGATGAAAGCAGGTTAGGAAGAGATCTCCAAATTCACTTTGCAAAGCACATACCTGCTTTGAGAAGCACAATTTGATCGTTCTGACACAGTTCCATAAATCCATCAATGCGTTTGGCAAACTCCACCACGTACTGTATCGCTTCTGTAATTTTGATGGCACACAATTGCCACATCACCTCCCGCTGCTGTTGAAGAGCGAAACACATTAACAGCCACCATTACCCATATCCTCGACACGGTTGTTTTAACTGTTTCTATTTGGTAAATTCCTTCTTTGGAAACGGATCCCCCAAAGCTAGAGGATTTGAAAACAAACAGTTGGCCAGTTATTTAGGTTATAATGATTGCTTCCAAGACCTTCCTCATCTCTTCGAATTCTTTGCTTACCATTTTGGCGGCAAAGGGACAAGGGGGAAGATGTTATGAGCATATATGCAGCAGAAGGTGAAAACGTGATCAGGAAAGCAGCGCCTGCCACTGCTTTAACCCTCAGCCACGGAGAGCAGCAAAGTAGAATCTTCTCTTAAGCAATTATTTTGCCTTGGGGAATTTCACACCACTTTACTGGGAGAAGGGAAGAAAAGGGGAGTCAGTTACATTGACTGTGCACCTGCCATGAGCTAGGTGCTTTAGGGCAGCCTTGTCTTATTTCATCTCCACAAGAACATTTTTGCATCTTCTATCAGTGGACACAGATGCTCACAGACGTTTCACAGCTAGTAGGTACTGGAGCTGGGATTCACATCCCAGCATCTCCGACCCTGAATCCCATTTCACACACCTTGTTGCTTCTTACCGCTTTCTTGTTTTCCTTTGTGACTTTGCCTGCTGGTGCTACCTGCTGTCTCAAAGGTACAGCGACGCGCTGCTATTCCCCAGCCTGTCCTGTTTGATTCCTTTTACATACCCCCTCTCCGACTGAGTTACAGGATAACCTGGATCCGTCCCGCTGTTCCCCCAATCTTAGTTTAAGACTGTGCACAATATGATGGGTGGAAGGAACAGGGAGTCAGGAGCCAGGAGCCATGGTCTAGTCCTGATGCTTTCATTTTCTAGCCATATGCCAAGGGGTGTTAGTTTCCTCACACGTAAAATGAAGGGGAGGATTAACGTTGATAATCTCTCTGGTCCTTCCTAAGCCTGAATTTCTAGTTATCAGTGGGGAGAAAAATCACAGCGTTTTCTTTTCCTAAAGGCAGATGGATAATTAAAATCCCCCCTTCTCCAGCCCTGCCCTCCCACTTTGGTGATGTGCTGATCAGAGTGTTTTAGAGAAAAAAGCAAGTAACAGAACTATTTGTCAGCCTCATATTGCTAGGTTCAGACTGCAGTTAGGATCACAGCTTCCAAATCGTTTTTTTTAAAATATGTACTCTCTAAACTCCTTCTTTTTAACCTCTGGAAACATGAGGTCAAGATTATTTTAAATCAGCTTCCGGACAGTGAAATCTTCCACTGTGATATTGGGACAAATCCCAATTCATTTAGGCTTTTGGAAGCTGCTTAATCTAGACCCCTGCTGACAAATGATAGAACACACGTGCAAAGATATAGGAACAATAGGCCTGTGTACTATTGCTGAAATTTCGCACACTGGCGTCTCAGTGAGATGACAAGGCCCCAAGAACGTGATCAGCTCTCGAAGAAAGATTTTTAAACAGAAATCTGATATCTGACAAAAGGCATCCATTCTTTGGTCTGCCGGTACTCTCGATCAAATCTCCCACACGAACACCCTTCCCAACATCGTCCCACTCTTAGGTAAAATTCTTCGGAGTCTACCTTGTTTTGATAGTTCTCAATCTCCTCCTGCAGAAAGGTCTGCCACGTTATCTGCTGGAGCTCTTCTCTCAAGTATTGGCACGTTTCCAGGTGTGATTTCGATATATTCTGTGCAAGGTGTTCTAGGGAGAAAACAGGAGACGGCAAACGTGAAAAGCCAAGTTCTTCTTTGGACAGTCAGGTTCTCCCGACCTAATTTTGATTTGAAAGGTAACAAGTATAAAGCAACATGCTGGAAGCAGTTTTAATTATCTTTACATATTCAAGGAAGCAATTTGGAACTATTTTGCATTTTGAAACATGAGGATGAAGGACAGGTCAAGTCAGCATTGAGCAATAAGTCTTGGTGACTTCCAAGACCCTCCTGACTTTGACCTCCTGTGCCTCTACACCATTATCTGAGAATGAACAAATATTGATCTAGATGGGTGTGAGAAAGGACTGACACAACCTCTTCTTGGCATTTTATAGACACTTTTGCCATATTCATTGATTGGAGGATGGTTATTCTTGAAAAACTAAGAAGTGGTATTCTTTTATGACAAGTATGTGTATCTTTTGTTTTTCCTGCAAATGGCAGAACAAGCATTACTGAAAGCCTGCTACATAATTATACATAGTGTTGCGGTTAAGAGATGGACTATGGAGCCAGACTGACCCGGGTTTGAATCTCAATTCTGCTACTTAGTAGCTGTGTGATCTTGTGTAAATCACCTAACCTCTCTGTGCTTTTTAGTTTCCTCACCTGTAAAATGAGGAAAATAGTACCTATTTCATTGGGCTTCTGTGACAATGAAATGAATTGAGCACTCAGAATAGAGAGGTTTACACAGCATGTGCTATATAAACATTTGTTTTTATTATACTGGCGTGTAGGGAGTTTGAAGATATTAAAAGAAACAGATGCCAAATAAGTTTCCATAGGAACATATAACCCAGTGAACATGTAGGGACATGCTGAAAGGACAATTCAAGACATCAGACAGTACAGCATGAAGCTGAATTATACCAGAAGAGAAATTAAAAAAATAAAAAGCAATCAGTGCTTTAGGGAAAGGAGAGATGAGGGAATTAAGGGACGCTTCCTGGCAGAAGAGGAAAGTTTCGATTGGACCCTGAAGAATGGGGAGGATTTGGCAGGCAGAGGCCAGTGTTGTGTGGCAGAGAGCCAGTTCCACATCTGAGGGATGGTAGATGAAAGAACAAACATGGCATTTGTAGGACACAGGCAGAAGTGATAAAGTAATGATGTCAAAACAGAAATATGAGTAGGTAAGTGCCCAAATCTGAAGGATCTTGAATGCTGGGATTGAGAGCTGGACTTGATTAACAAAAGGAGTCATCAGGATTCTCGAGGGGGAGATGACATACTGAACATTGCATCTGGAGAAAGGGAACGAGCAGTTCTGTGACTGGTGGGCTGGAGGTTGGTGAGGCTGGAGGCTGGAGGACACATTAGAGGGCTGCTGAATTCTAGCTGTGAGGGACTAAGAGCTTGAAATAGGTTTCTAGTAATTGTTATAGAAGGGAAAGCCAATTAAAGATGTATTTTGAAGATGAATTAACAAGATTCAGAGAATACAAAACCATATCCAAATGTGATCCCCCTTCCAGGATCCTGAACATGCAATAGGAAAAGCATTTAAAACAATGGTGCTGAATGCAAACTTAGCAACACCAGTAAGAGTGTCTATTTATGTGGAAGTCTGCTAGTGCTTTCGCCAAACAGAATCAGATTTGTTTGTGTGAAAACAGAGCAGGTTCACCTAAATGAGGCTGGAAACTAGAATCTCCTTAGAGACAGGGAGACACAATAAACCTTAACATCCTTAACTGGCAACACACAGACATGAAAACGACATAAGTAAATACAATTCAAAATAAAACATAAACAAAAGAAAAGAATTTAAAGGAAACAGACAGAGAGAAACAGAGAAAGAGGGAGAAGCCAGGCAATTATGCATCTTGGAATCAATGATGCTTGTGAAGAGAACAGGGGAGTAAAGACAAAGATCACAGGGAATCAGAAAGAAGAAAATAAATGTGTAAATAGTAAACCAATTTTTGCAGATATGAAAAAAAAAGATGCGATGAAGCGTGCACAGGGAATCTGGGAGAATCCTAGGAGAGGATTCATAGGAAGAGACTCACAGTATTCTCTTTCAGATCAGGCTTTTTCCCAGATTACACGGTCAGCATCTTGTTTCACTCCATCCTTAAAATTGTTCCTGCTCATCCCTACCCATTTGAGTCCAGCTTTCAGGACAACAAATGATGTAATGTACAAAGACGAACCAGCAGAGGGCAGTGGCTGCATTCTCACCAGCTGCCTTTGAGCCCAAGTCACACTTGATTTGACCAAGTGTAAGATTTCAGACCCTTGGCTATTTTTAAACCTCCATTTCAGCAAAGGAGAGTATGGTCAGCCGAGGAAAAGCTAAGAAGCTAGTGTGGTCCCTCAGATAAACAGTCTGGGATGGTGAAATACCTTGGAACTAGGAGTTAGGAGACCTGATTTCTTCTGGCCTGAGATCAGTGGGTAACTCACTTTGTGACCAGCAAGGCAGTTTGCCTCCTAAACCATGACTGCTTCATCAGTACAGCCAAGGTCTGGCTACTTCAGGTGGAAAAGCCTGACTTCTGATTTAGTCATAGATTTTCACAGCGGGATGGAACTTTAGACATCATCTGGTCCAAACTCTCCTCAGTTTACAGATAATAACATCATAATGATGATAAGAGTTAACATTTAGGTAGTATTTATTATGGTCCAGATAGATATATATATACACATACATATATACATTCTGTTTATATATATGTATATATGTATTTTCCTTAATATTCATAACCATCCTAGGGGGAAGGTACTAGTATTGTCTACTTTACAGATGAAGAAACCAAATGAGGTTAAGTGACTTTTCAAAGTGTCACAGCTGGCAAGTGGCCAGTGATTCAAACACACAAAATTGGAGTCCGGAGTCTGTGCTCTTAATCTTTATATTCCCGAGGTAGGGAGGCTGCAGCTTACAGAAGTAACGTGGTTTATGCCAGTTGTACGACCTACAGCAAAGCTAGGACCATAACCCACAGGCTTTAGTTATTGATTATAGTAATAAGTACTTCACTTTTTTTTTTAATGAAACCACATAGCTTATCTGGAATGCATAATTCAGGTGCTAAGTACACATCAAGGGCAAAATCGCATCGCCAGGAATGCAGATGAATTTCCACTAAAAGCAATGGATTGTAGATACCCTGATGAAAGATAGAAGTGCGCTTAGAATATGTTAGTTTACAATTCATTTACCAATTGCACAACTGGTTTCATTTGTTTAAAATCTGATGACAAACTTTATCCCAAAATGAAGTCAAGTTAGCTCAACAGAGAGCGGGACTTAAGCCCCAAAGGAAATGTCTGCGAACCTCCCAGAGCTTTGGAGCAGCAGCAGCAAAGCCTTTGGCTACTTTTACGCTGCTCTGAGCTCCTCAAACTGTTCTGCACGTGTAGATGAGGTGGGAAACAAGATCCCGGTTATAACCTCCTTTTTTCAGATAAATTCTTCTTTAGTTTTGGGTTTGGGACAATCCTAGTGACAGTCAATTTTATTCATCCTGGAAAATGCCACAATATATGTGAAAAATCCTTAATTGAGGAGAACGTGGAGAACAGATGAGGGTTCCAGGCTTGGCGACAGCTGTGAGGAAATGGATTTTAAGGGGAAAGGGGGAGCCGGGGGAGTCGGCTGAGCCATTTCTGGCTGCCCTCAGACACTAGGGCACATTTAGCCTAAGTGCCATGTTCAAGGGCCACACTCAGGCCAAGATGTGTGGGTTTATTTCCGGGATGAACATGTGACAAGCAGACAGGATGGATTCCCTAGTATGGATGATAAAGCAGAAGCAACCCTAACGTGAGCCAGGTCATTTTCCATGGGATCGTGTCAGCTTTCAATCAAATCCTTATTCATTTCAGAAAATTTTACTTTTATTACAGCTCTGCTTAAGGCTCAGCCAACCAAGATTTCACAACCAAAACGGAAGGTTTTTGTTCTAGTTCAAGAAAAAAAAAAAAAGAAAATCAAACCTACCTCTGCTCAGCTTGGCTTCTAGTTCAGAGGTTTCTCTGTTAATCAAAAGAGCTGTGATACACCTTTAATGCTGTTCAGTGGTTAAACACCAAGCTTAAAATGTCCCTGCTCTTGAGGATTTAAATTTAGACCCATAAAGAGGTGCTTGTGTAAAAACCGTAAAGAACATTCAATTTGTTCTATTTGGAGAAAGATTTTTACTGGAAATATAAATTTCACTTAAAAAATGTTTTATGGGGTACAGAGGTGGAGAAACCATCTAAAGAACACAACCGTCATTTCTGTGAACTGAGGATGTCTGTGCTCAAGTCAGAACCTGCTGGTTCTCTTCCATCTGAAGTCTTCATTCTCTCCTCGTCTTTACTTAGTCATCTCCACAGCAGCTAATTGAAATATCCCAAAGGATTCTAACCTCGGGTGAGGAAGCATGGGGAGGAGCAGATCAAATTCTCAAACAGCAAAGGTCCTTATCAAAGTTTTGCTAATAATAGTGCTGCACTTAAAAATCGATTAAATATAACAGAGGATGTTAACACAACTTCCTTGCAATGAAAAGTTTTCCATTGTCTGTGCTAACATTTCTAGGTCACCTCTCCCAAGAAGCATCAATGCCACAGGAATAAGGAAATGACAGGTTTTTTCATTCTTTTCTTTTTTTTTCTTTTTTGGCACGGTGAGTGTTCTATGAAATATAGCAGTTTTGTCACTAATTTCCATCACCAAAACATTTCGGCAAATAAAGAAGCCAATTTCTCTGTAGCATTTCTGGAAGACATCGGGATGGCAAAACGTGGATGTGTACAGGGACTGGGCAGTGATATAAATGGGGAGAGTGGGATGCGCCCATTTAAAGGCATTAGGACCTAACTGGTATCAGCTGGTTGTTACCAGTCACAAATGCTGCTCCAGTGTAACTAGATCTTTTTTCCCCTCTCTCACAAGAAGCTGAAAATCTGAACTTTTAGGTGGAATTCTCCAGGCGTAAAATTTTAGCAACCGATTCAAAAATTGTAAAACTTGACACTGGTCCAAAAAAACATGTCTGTGGACCTGGTTGAGTTTGTGGGTTGTCATAATGACCTTGGGTATTAAAGCAATACCCGGACTATAACCAAAGTAATGGAGTTAGTTAATGGGGCCATTCCCTGAGCCTGCAGTTTTCAGGGAAACTTAAAGAATCTAAAGAAATAAAGGAATTTAAAGCGCTAAGTTCATGTTGTCCCAGCTCTGATGCTGAGAGGTCAGTGAGAGTCTGGTATTACAATGCGAAGCAGTGGAGAGTCAGAAGCAAGGAGGCAGCTTGGAATTGTGAAGGGGTCTAAAATGGTAAAGGTGAATCACCCAACTAGATGTATTATTTTAATAACGTAACTCATCAGAGGAAAGTCAGACTTATCCTGCTGACTTCATAGGGCAAGAGCAGGGCACCCCAATAAACCCATGGAAGCCATTACCTAGTTCTGCCATGGACACAGTTGGGGAGGTCTCTCCGTTGGTGAAGGAACAGTAGGGAAAGAAGCCGGATGCTGGTGCATAGTCACATATTGGTTCTGGCTTGATTCCATTGATATCAAGACCCGACTGGTCCGGGGAGGGCTGTATGTCCAGGTAGAAGCTGCTGACGGCAGAGTCTGCCTTGCTGCCCTCAGGGGTGTGCCCGTCGATGTAGTTGCTCAGGTCATCGTGAAGCTCCGTCAGCCCGTTGGCCGAGAGGTTGTAGGTGGGAGTCAGCGGCTCGGCCTCCCCGGGCTGCTGCTGGTGGTCGCGCTGCTGCTGCTGCATCCGGTGCTTCTGAACTTCTGCATACAAGCTGTCTCTCTGCTTTTTCGACATGCGGCCAAATTTTACAGCTGGAAATAAAAGGCCAAACGACACTGTATACAATATGTTTTTCTCCATTACCCTCCCAGGTGTGCTTTAGGAGTTCCTTTGAAATCTCAGATAATCTCAGTCAGAAACCACAGAACCACACGACAAGGACAGGATCCAGAAGTGAAAACCGTCCCACCCCACACGGGCTGGCTCCACATCTCCAACAGCAAAGACACATCCCAGATGAGATACGTTTCAGAAATAGACCCAGGGCTGCTAGAAGAGACCCGGAGCCATGACCACCCAGGTTTTCCTGCTGTCACAGAACCCTAGGCTCAGTGGGAGCCACTGCAATGCAACTTAATGGGCTGGGTCCCTCTCCACTCAGGCAGCTGGCAGAGACCCTTCTTTCTCCTCCCAGGGTGCAGACCAGTGCCCAGGGATTCACAGACTCATGGGGGTACATCGAGGCACAAGCAGTCAAACCTCAACTTTCATTCATTTCATTAATCAATACACTTACATGAGTGTCTTCCTGATGAGACAACCAGACCTGGGGCTTTGTTGAGAAAGCTCAACAGACTGAATGAGGCATTTGCAGTTTCTGGAATTACATCTCTGAGTCTACCCCCTCTCCTACTCCTGGGCCATGCGCTCGGTCCCTGGTGAAACCCTTGGGTCCATCTTTACACTGGATCTTAACCAAAAGGCCGAGAAGCGATGGGCCCATCTTGAAATGACCCTTTCTGCTGCTCTCATTTAGCCTCAAGTGAAAAGATTATCAGAATTCTGGAAAGGGCAGATGTTGTAGAAGATGCCTGCGGGGGAATTCTGTGTTTGCAGCCCTTCTCCTTGCGATGGAGCTCCCCTTTTAAAGTGGGACAACCACTAGAGTGACTTTCCAGTTCATTCTGAATCCCACATGAGTTCTGAAGCACTCAGATAACCAAGGACAAAAACTCTATGATTTCCTGGTCCGAACTTGCACGCTGAGCCATTAATTTCTCAGCCTGACTCTGTATATGCAGATCAAACCTCTGCTGGAGGGACTAAGATCTCCTCCTTGATTCTGGTTAACTTTACACATGACTGGGTGGTTGTAGGTGTGACCTACACCACAATTTTATGAGCTTCGGGGGCAAGAGACAGGGTGGATGCAGGTGGAGCTGGAAACCAGAGTCCACCACCTGGGCCAGCTGGTGGATTCTTTTCCTGCCAAGGAGAACGTGCTTTCCTTTCACACAGAAAAAACAATTGAGCTGGATTCTGGTCAGTTTCCAGTTTCCACGACTCAGGTGACAAACTTGGTGGGTTAGTTAGACAGCAGTCAGACTAATGGGGGCTGTGAATTTCAGGCCTTTAACTGTATAGGGCCTCAAATTCACTCCGAGCCCGCAACAATACATGCCGTCACTTAGATGCAAAACCGCCACAAGGCATACTGAAGGCACTTTATTTTTTTTTGGAAAGAATACTCTAGAACTCCCAAGCAGATTAAGACCCAGAGGTGAAACTTGTTCTGCTATGACTCTGAATTGTGTTTTAAGTCTTTTCTTAGTATAAACAGCAGTAATCATACTATTGTCTAAATGAAATGAATGGGTCAGGTCTTAAAATGCACACACAACCTGTGATTTTTAACTTACAGATTCATAAGAGATACACCTAATCGTGTCAGTTTAGTGCCACTGGAAGATGAAATCTGCAGGGCTTTGTTTCCCAGGAATTTCTGAGGACACAGTGTAAGTTTTGTGACTTGCATCTTTCCGATGGCAAAAGTTCATTTTTCATTCTTACGCATCCTAAGAGGTCACCCTGCGCACAACTCGTGCCTGGGTGGGTCCACACCCCCCCAAGAATATCTGATTATGGGGAAAGCAGACTTTCAGAATGCCTGCCCAGCATTCTGAAGTTATTTTTCCCAAGCTGAAACTCCACTGGAAGAGATGGTTCCTTCAAATGGATCTCTTCAGAGAGCCAGGCAGCCGGTATATTCAAGAAAAGTCCTTAAAATGTACCCACTGTACTATCTGCCCAGTTTCCTTATGTAAGAATAATTGTCTTGAAAACTGGCATTGATTATTCAGTGAGCTTAAGACAGTTTTCCAGGAAGATCCCGAAATGTTTGCAACTGAAGGGTCGATGGCCTCTGTTTCTTAAAATAGTGTCTTTCAATGAAAAGAACACTTGTCACTGAGCCATGCTGTACACTATTTTCACACATACTAGACATACAAATATTTGACTTTGGACCTAGTTAGCATAAAAGCTAATTCATCCCCCTGCCAATAAGCTTGCTCGTGTAAGGCATGCAGCCCTTAGCTCTGGTTGGGTTTTCTATGCAGGAAAAAGGCTTCTAGGAAGTAAATTTAATGAAGACCCTCATGTGACGCTTACCTTCAAGCAATTCATCCACCTGTTATGTCTTAAACATCAACAAATCTGAAGGTGTTCTCATCACATAGACACTTCTCCCCCAAGCTCCCCCGACCCCCTAACCTTAGCCAGTGAGCTGGCTCTGATGGTTTACGGAGGAGGAAGGAACTGCTGTGAGACTCACACAGCCACCAGAGGAGGGAGGGGAGGTGGGTGGGGAGTGGGGTGAGGGGCAGAGGGGACACATTCTGGTAGATCTGGGTCCAGGCTTCAGAAGGCCCCTTCACCACCCCAGGCCACTGTACAACGCAGGCTGCGGGTGCTCACCATCTCGAGACATCCCCACGGCAAGACATTTCTGTAATCGACAGTGTTGGCAGCGGTTTCTACTGGTTCGATCAATCAAACAGTTCTTCTGACGAGGACAGGAGTAGGTGGCATTGCTTTGCTGACTTCTCCTGAAAAAGCCCTGTGATTCAGTTATAAAATATAAAACAGGTTAGTGTCAGTTTGAGCGGAAGATACTAAAGGCAGGGTACCAAGCGCCGAGTGGCATTAATATTTAATGGAGAATTAAACTTGCAACAGAATCATCCAGGAGACTGTTAATAAAATTAAAGTCATTTCTTTTTCCTTGAGTAAAATTGATCCCCAGAGCCTAGCCCTCCATCCCTTACACATGCAAAACCTTCTTTAACTCCAACAGATGGGCGCCCACGTACAAGGCACAGGATCGGGTCCTCTTCTTGGCTTCTGAGGATCCAAAGCTATGTGCTTGATGGCATGGTACAAAGACACTTACCTTTAACCTTTATCACCAAAACATTTTTAGAATAAACTACAAAACACTTCTCTTGGATGTCCAGAGATAAGAAAATGCAGCCTCACCGTAACCCAGGAGGCTGCAATCCTGATACACTACAGTAATCTCAACCAGACCACGTAAATCCTCCACCTTTTCCGTGTCTTGCATTCCCCACGTGAAAATCTACTGCCCCAAGAAGTTAGGTGATATTTGGATGGATCACCCTGGCAGATCAGTCAGACTGGGAATACCCCGCTCTTGCTAGTTTGGAAATACCTTGTGTTCAGAATCATGGCCTTTAAGGTTTAACAAATCCAATCTGCTGCTCATCAAGTTCCACTCATTTGTTAAGCACTGTTTTGGAAATAAGGTGGATGGAGAACAAAGAGTACTGACCTCAAGGATTTCACTCATTCATTCATTCACTCTCATGGATTCATTCATTTTTGTTAACTTCTCGAGCTGGATTCTGACTAGCTGATTAATTTTCTTAAAGCTGCAAGTTTCCTTTTAGTGGCAACCACAAGTTTTGCTATGTCATATTTTCATAATTATTCAATTGAAAGCTTGCTCTAATTTTCAGTAGAGTTTTAAAAGCCGTATGTTATTTAGAAGCACATTTCTTAATTTCCAAACATAGGTGGGGGCCAGTGTTTCTGGTTATCTTTTGATTGTTGATTTATCTCTCAGTGATTTTGCAAACTAGAGATGTACCCTTAAAAAAAAAAAAGGTAATCAGAGTCATTTCTATGAAGCAGAGCCATGAAGGGTACAAAAGAACACTATCATTTTCAAATCTTTAATGGTGAAGATGGATGACCCTAACCAAGGGGACACAAGTGGAGAGGGGTGAGGTAAAATTACTCTCTCACCAGAAGATTACTCTGGAGACCAACTTGGCAAAATCTAACAAAATCTTTAAAAACATGCCTATTCATTGAACTAGTAAGTATCCTTTAAGGAATATATTTGAAAGAAATGTTGATAAAGGTACGAAGATTTACCTACATGGATGTGTATCACAGCACTATTTGTAAGGTGAAAAAAATTTAGAGAGATGCTAAATGTCCAACACTAGTGGACTGGAAGTCACAGTGGATATTCATATTCTCAGGAACCATTAAAAATGGTATGTCAGAAATACAATTACTGCCGTAAAATGGTGATAAAAAATATGCCGCTGAATTAAAAAAAAAAACAGCTAAGGAACTAAACACAATATAATCCACTTTTGGAGGGAAAAATCTATATATTTAGCATAGAAGAAACTTTGGAAGTTTATGCCTCCAAAGAAAAAGAATTTGGTGGGGCCATGAGTGATCTCAATTTTCTTTATATTTATCTGCTTTCTGATTTTCCGACAACGTGCAGGTGGACAGGTACGTGAGCTACGCAGAAAGAACAATCTAGTCTATACATCTGCTTTCTTTTGTGATGTCCGAGGACCTTGTGGATTCCGCCGATGGGCAGGACAGTACCTCAGTTTCCAGCTCTTTCCTTGGGAAACCAGTCTGGGATGGGCGGGGTGGGCACTGACCTCTCACTTGCTCCCTGCTCTCTGCCAGACTGCTCACTAACCCACATGGGCCAGGCTGGGGGTCCAGGGTCTCAGACTGTCTCTCCGTGGTACTTCAGATCTTCCTGATAACAAGTCTTGCCTCTTTTGTGAAGCAATCTCTCTTTTCTCAAAATATCTAAAAAGCTGTAGGTTTCCTTTTTTTTTTTTTCTTTTTTTTGGTTTTGTGTGTGTTTTTTCCCTCTGTGACAAGAAAGCGAGATGAAGTAAAGCTTTCTTTGGGGCTTAATGGAGAGAATTCAAGAAAATATAAATGGTAACGGAGGCCAATAATCCTTAGAAAGAGATAGCAAGAGGTCACCTGTCTAGGTGTTCAGTCGAGTCTGAGACGTGTAATCTCTGTCCAGGCTGAAAGGGGTTTCTTTCTTGAGGCTCGACCACCATCCAGACCCTCCGTGTTTGCTATCACTGCTACCACTGCAGGCGACCAGGATTGGAACTATTCGCCTTTCCTTTAGCTGAGGCTGAATTTTGCTTGCTTCACAAGGAGACTGTTCCATTTTGTTCTATAATCGCTGAATAAGAAGAATGTCTGCCCACTCTCTCTTTTTTTCTTCAGATGGAAACGGTACTTGTGGGCTGCCAGGTTACCTCCTGGTACCTCGTCTGTAGATTGAAATCAGAGCACTGGTCACCTTTCTTTCTAGGTTCCTTTGCACTTTCAGTATTTCTTCTGAGGATCCTCTCCAATTTCTTCACTTCCACAACAAAAAGTCTGAAACTCGGAACTAGACACAGCTCTTGAAGAATGCTTGGGTAACTAACACAGGAAAAAAAAGTGCTAGTCTTTACTTTCCATATATTCAACTCAAGTTAACAGCAAACCACCACTAATAAAGTTCCAGCATGTTAGCCCAGAAGCCGTACACAACCACCAGTTTGCCCTGCTACAAGGGACCTCTGGGAGGGCGTGATGGTGGTGATAATGATGATGAAGATGATGATGATGGCGGCGGGGTGGGGGAGGAGAAATCTCTTGAGTGTCTGTATTAACTGCATCTTTTATTCTGCATTTTTAATGCTTTGACATCTTGCTGACCGAGGAGAGACTGCACTTTCCAGGGCTACCTAATTTCTAGAGACAGCAAACGACTTGCCTGGAGCACACCTTTCACGTGCCGACCGACCAGTCCAGAGCCCGTACACCCAGCCACCTCCTCTATCGGGCTCTCACCCTCGGGGCCACTCTTGCCCTGCCCTAATCATTCTGGGACCACCAGGTACCACACAATTAGGGATTTTAACTAGCCAATCCTAACCCTGCTTTGCCTGCCCCGCCCGTTATAGAAAATCACAAGAAAGGCTCCTGCCTGTACGCCCCCCTCACTCCCTCCGCCTCCTGACTGACCCTGGTGCTTCCCCCTCTGGTCCCCTGCGTGGCAAGCTGTGTCTCCTGTTTTCGAGGGACCTGTGAGTATAACAAACGTCTTCCCACATGAGTCACTTTTGTGTCTCTGTGTCTCACCTACTTGATTAAAACAAATCCCAGGAACCGTTGAAATGGTGCTTATTATTCACTAGGCTTCCTGTGCCTTCTGTGGATTCCCATCATTTAATTCCGACAAGGGCAACACGAGGCAGGCGCTCTCGTTTCCCTGGTTCCCAGGTCAAAGAACCAGGGGCTTAGAGAGGCACAGAGACTTCCCCAGAACCTCCCCTCCCCAAGCCCCCAGGATGGGATAAAGCCGGGATCCAAACCATGCGGTTTAATTCCAGGACTCACACTTTTATCCCTTTTGTTCTCTTAGAAGGGCAACCATTAAGCAGGGCAGAGTAAAGACACAGGTATGCAGAATAAAGGAGCAAGACGAGTCTGCTCTGAAATTAGTGTTTCCCTTCGGGTTAGCCCCGTTAGCTGGCCACGCCACCACTGCCCAGGCAACTTACAGATTCCTCTTTAATACCACCTCCTCATGTGGGTTATTCACACGAGACAGCCAGTCTCACCATGTCATGATTTCCCCCGCATATCTGACCGGGAGGATTAAGTTCCCTTCTATTTACCTTATTTACTTCTAAATTCCTTTAGAAAACAAACAAAACAATAACCACAAACCGACTTCAAGGATGCAGAGTCATATCATTAAAGATGTCTGAGTAATGATGCCAACAACTGCAAGGCAAACCCCTGAGGCTTCCCGCATGCTCTTGCAGCAGCGGCACGGAGCCCGGGACCAATGTCTGGAAAAGGACTACATGTCTTTGGATGCCTCAGCTTTGAAGGATCTGGGGCAAGAGAGCAAGCAGATACACCTTACTGTTTGCAACACCATTTCTCACCGAATCAGTGGAGCAAGTGCCTGTGGAAAGCTCGGGGAGTGGTACAGCTGAGAACCAGAGAAGAGACTTTTCTTTGGGACTAAGTCAACAGAGTCATGCTCACAAGTCTAGCTATCAAATACCAAACAGGGGGGTCAGGCGGGGTTATAAGATGAGAGCCGTTGAAGGGAGAGAGAGGTAAGCCTGGATGACTCAGATACACACTAACCTTTGCATTTCAGACAGAATGAGGGCTTGGTCTTCCTTACTTCCCCTTTCCCCCTTTTAAAAAAACTCTTCATTTCAGTATTCCTTGGGATTTCTCAGAAGATTTGGGAAGGTAAAATGATAAAGCATTTAAAGCTAATGAACACCTAAGAGGAGAAAGATTATAGGAGGAAGAGAGGTAGAGAGTATGGTAGGTACCTTCCTTCCTACAGGTAGACATGCTCTTAAATGTAGAAGCAGAATCTTGATTGACTGGGCGCGATCCTGGAGAGGGTCCCCTTGAGAAATGGGACACTAGTTCTAGGGGTTGGGGAGTTCGAGGCCACACAGAACTTAGTGACAGCATAAGCCAGTGCTTGGAGTTTTGGGGCGGAATTGAGCGGATGTGTATAAAGAAGAGAGAGAGTGCTGAAGCTGTGAGTCAGCTGGGAGAGATATTAAGTACACAGTTTTGAAGTTTTAACTTTTAAAAGCTGAGCTAATGAATTACTTCTTTGGCTTTCTTAAACGTTCACTTTGTATGGATGTCAAAATATATGGAGATGTGCCATTATAAGCATGGTGGGCTTGGGCGGAGGGCCACCATGATGAATTTCAGGGT